TAATTTTGGTAATGTCATGGAACACTTCTACGACAGCACATGTATGACTATCTTGATTCTGTCATAAATTTGTCATGGATGTACATGCATGATAGAAAACATGACCTACTGTGACAAACACGTATCATCACAGAAGTATATTTTTTTTGTAGTGAGGCACCAATTTTTGATTTCATGTCAACCGAATAACCAAAAAAGACATCTAATCTCTTCTTTTGTGTAGGGAGGGAAAACTCAACTAATTTTTTCGATAAAGGGTGCTTTTATTAACTCAAAATGTAGCATCAAGCCGATACAAAATATCATGAGTATCACCCGGCCTCTGGATAACTAGGATGCACGCAGCCAAACAACAAAAGTGTGTCAAAAGAAAATGTAACAAAAATGACAAGTCGACAATAGTAGAGTCCTACAGACCGACACTATGCCTATGTCAAAAATGGAGGTAGATCGATTCGGAGGTTATGATGCCGCTCATGTTGGGAAAAAACCTCCATAGTCGACTGCTCTAACCGCGTACACACCGCCTTGAACAACGGTTGGTGCTCCGGTCATTGTAGCGTAGACCACATACGAAGCAAGTGCGTACAACGAAAAATAACCTGTAGAGGAGAAGCATTTTTGTCCTTAAAAATGAAATAATTTCTACATAGCCAAAGCGAACAAAGTACGACATACGCTCCCACCCTTATTAGCGTTTTGAACTTATTTGAAATACCGTCCAACCAATGACCAAATATATTGGCAACACTTGTGGGCGGATAAAAATTTGACGCTATTTGGATGACTGACCATGTAGAACGTGCAAACTTGCATTAGAAAAAGAGGTGCTTGATTGTCTCATGATGAGGACAAAAGCAACACTACTTACTTCCTGGCCAGTTGTGTCGTGTAAGGTTGTCTTTTGTTAGCACAACTCCCCTACGAAGATACCACATGAAGATTTTAACTTTTAGTGGAATCTTTGACTTCCAAATTTTCTTGTTATTACTCACTGGTACCTCAGAATGCATTAGCGCACGATACATAGAGTCTATTGTGAAAGACCCCGATGTAGTAAGGTTCCAGTGAAAAACATCCCTGCCTTGTGTCGGGTTAATCGAATCTAGTCGGGACAAAAGATTATGCCATGACATAAGTCGGGGGCCAATCAAGTCCCGCCTGAACGAAATATTCGGTGGAGACGAACTGAGCACATGCACAATAGTATTATTTCTATCGCGAGCAATGGTGTATAAGGCTGGGTATTGTTCTCGAAGACTGGAATTGCCTAGACATATGTCTCCCCATAAACGAATTTCCGACCCATCCTTTATCGCGAAAGACCCAAAGCGAAAGAGATGTTTCTTTGCCGCCATTAGGCCAGCCCAAAAGTGCGAGTCGCCAAGTTTACAATAGGCTTGAGACACTGCCTTTTGGTCTAGATACTTGTTGCGCAACATGATTTGCCAAACACCATCCTTAGTAAGAAGTTTGAACAACCATTTACTAAGTAGGGACACATTCTTGACCTGCAGGTCATGAATTCCAAGGCCACCTTGGTCTTTCGGCCTACAAACCACGTTCTATTTGGTCAGCATGTACCTTTTCTTTTTACCATCTCCTTGCCAAAAGAATCTGGATCTAAAATAGTCCAGTCTTTGCAGCACCCCTTTTGGGAATTGGAAAAAAGAAATCATATAGAGAACCATATTTGTGAGGACAGAGTTAATCAAAACCAGCCGTCCTCCAACCGAGAGCATCTTGCCTTTCCAACTACTCAAACGTTTCTCTAAACGCTCCTCTACATGTTTCCACTCTGCAATGGTAAGTCGCCGACAGTGAATAGGTATTCCCAGATATTTAATCAGGAATTGCCCGTGTGCGCAACCAAACAGGTCAGCATAATCGGCAGCCGCCTCAACAACATCTCCAAAACAAAAAAGTTTGCTTTTATGGAAGTTAATTTTGAGACCCGACATTTGCTCAAACGCTGAAAGTAAGAGTTTCAAGTTCCGAACCTCATCCAGGTCATGTTCCATAAACAGAATTGTGTCATCGACATATTGCAGAATAGAGAGGCCACCATCCACAAGGTGTGGCACTACTCCGGCAGCCTGGCCGTCCTGCTTGACGCGCTCAATCAGAATAGCCAACATGTCAGCGACAATGTTAAATAATATTGGAGACATGGAGTCACCCTGTCGTAGTCCTTCTTTTGTCTGAAAGTAATGGCCTATATCATCATTGACTTTGATGGCCACACTACCTCCAGTTACAAAATTTTGGATCCACTAGCGCCATTTCTCTAAGAAACCTTTAATTCTTAGTGCCTGTTGGAGGAAAGACCATTTGACCTTGTCATAGGCTTTTTCAAAATTGATCTTGAATACTATCCGACTCATGTTTTTCCGATGCATCTCATGAATGGTCTCATGCAAAATTACTACACCATCGAGTATATTTCTTCCTTGCATGAATGCCATTTGAGATGGCCGGACAACAAGGTTAGCTACCAAGTTTAATCTATTCATAGCCACTTTGGTGAAAATCTTGAAACTAACATTAAGGAGGCATATAGGTCTGAACTGTTGGATCCGTTCGGCCTCCTTAATCTTTGGCAACAAGACAATCTCGCCAAAATTAAGTCTGAATAGGTCTAGTCGGTTGGCATGAAAACAATTGAACAACTCCAAAAGGTCAGTCTTGATGATATCCTAGAAATTCTGATAGAATTCTGCGGGGAAACCATCTGGGCCTGGAGCTTTGTTATGTTCCATTTGGAACACATCCGCTCTCACCTCCTCTTCTGAGAATGGTGCCGTTAGGAAATCATTTTCTTCTGCCGTGACTTGTGGAATATCATCTGTTCGGGTCTCGTCGAGGGTGAAGTTCCCTTCAGTCGGCGCTCCGAACAGAGATTTGTAGTATTTGGTGATATACTTTTTGAGCTCCTCCTGACCTTCGATCCGCCCCTCATCTTCTTGGAGACTGTAAATACATTTCTTCCTGTGCCGCCCATTGGTGATCAATTGGAAGTATCTTGTATTACTATCACCCATCAAAATGAAATAAGCTTTGGATCTCTGGTAGTATTTGATCTTCTCTTCTCGCAAAAGACGGACAACCTTCTCATTCGATTGATTCTTCAATTCAATCTCTTGATGAGATAAGTTGCGCGTCTCTGCAATCTTGTCGAGGTCATCAATAATGGTACAAAGCCGTTGTTTTTCTTTTTTATATATCTCGTTGGTGTGTTTCACCCATCCAGTGAGGTATTGCCTCATGGCTCTTATTTTAAAGTTCCATATCTGAATAGGCGTATGACCAACAGCGGGCTTCTCCCAAACATTCTTGATTATGTCTACAAAACCATCCTGATGTAGCCATCCCAACTCAAATTTGAAAGGGCGACGGGCAGGTGGGTTCGTAGAGTTAGAATCTAGAATGATGGGTGCATGATCCGATAATGCCTCGATTCGCTCTAGGGCTCGCACGGTTACCAAAGGAAATTTTAGTTCCCATTCGGTGTTCATGAGTACCCTATCGAGCTTCTCGTATGTCGGCACAGATCAGTTATTAGCCCAAGTGAACTGCCGCGCTGACATACTGGCCTCGCGAAGATCCAAACTGTCTATGACAGCATTGAATAGGAAAGGCCAATGAGTGTCGAAGCGGTCATTATTTTTCTCTTGTTGATACCTAAAGATATTGAAGTCCCCTCCAATAAGCATTGGATAAGGATTATCCTTGGACAGGCTTACCAATTCGCGAAGGAAAGTCGATTTATATTCATCTTGGGCAACCCCATAGACTGCGACCAGGCTCCATGTAAAATTATTAGCTCTATTTCGTAAGTGAAATTTGATATGAAAATCACCGGTCGAAAAAGCCAGTAAGTCCATGGCCGTGGTGTGTATCCCAAGAAGGATTCCTCCATACCTTCCACGAGCTGGTAGACTATGCCATGTGTAGTCGAAACCACCTGATAGGTGATCGAGGACATGCTGGCGAAAATCACATTTATCAGCCTAGGAAATTGCTACAAAATACAACCCGTGTTCGCGCACACAATCACCCACGTGTTTATGTTTAGCCAAGTCTGAGAGACCTTTGTTATTCCAAAACATGCCTTTAATGTGGAAACTCGGGTCGGAATGGAGCCTTTCTCCTTCTTGGGCCGTTTTTGTTTCTTTTTAGAGGAATGTGATTTAGTTTTTCGTGAAGACGCTGTGAAGTCACAAAACATGGACCCAGGTCTTGCGTCAGCCAAACCAACCTCGGTAACCTCTCCAACCAAGTGTGAGATAAGCGGACCATCATATTTGGCGTCCGCTTTATCATCATCCTCGATTTCGGGGTTTGGTATGGAGGTATTACACTTCGGAGAAACCTTTAAACGGTCAATCTCCATATGTTTAAGTACCCCAATCGACAGATTAATTTCACTATCGTTCTTACCCATAGATACACCAATATTTTTTAAGCTAATAGAAATGCGAGTATCTGAGAAAGAAAGAAAAGATTGGCAGGAGGATGTACCTATCGTGGGGTCCAGATTCCTCGAAGCCTGGCGGCGCATCGCCTTCGTTAGAGAGTGCTCATTGGTCGAAGAAGAACCATCAGTGGCAAGGGTGTGACGGTTACTACGTCGGAGGGCTACCTCCAGATATAGCACCTATCGGCGTTAGTTCTTATATTATTAGTTCAAATATTATATTTCATACAACCAAATCTAACTAGAATATATTTCAACTAATTCCTGCAACAACGTACGGGGTACCATCTAGTTAGTGAAAATTCCCAGAATTCTATTTTTTTTACAGTAGTCCTTCAATAAGTGCATTGATGCAATTTCCTCTCTATATAAGCCCCTGAATATGTGAACTGTGTTTATCCGAACCGTCCAAATTCGATCAGACGATTGAGAATATCTGAACAAACGGATAGAGAAAAACCTCCCCTTATCCCCTCTCGCCCTCGTCCCGGCAAAAGCTTCAGTTTTCCACCGCTCTTCGCCAATGGCTTCCTCCACTGTCGCCTCCGCCCCCTTCCTCCCGTCGCTCCCCAGTCCAAACCACAGGCGCCTCTCCCTCCGCTACCCCGCTCGCCGTCTCGGGGTGGCCGCCTCCGCGGCTCCTAAGGGCGCGGCAGCGTCGGAGGCGGCGAGGGAGCGCCGGCGTTTCCTGGAGCGTTACGGCCTCAACCCTGACGACTTTGAGGAAGATGCCGAGCCGGATCCCAGGGTTTGCTCCATCGACCCCTTTGTGCTCTCGTTGTATTACGCTCCCTCTCATCTGGGCTGACTTGAGTGGGTTTTCTGTTTTGCAGGAAGAGAGGAGGAGGGAGAGGCGGACGCGGCGGTCGGGGGGAGGGGAGGGGGAGGCCGCTGTTGCTCCTGCCAGGCCGGTGGAGCGCCGGGAGACTCATAAGATGCTCCAGGTTTGGACCGTAACCGCGTCCTAGGTTCTCATTCGTGTATGATGTTCCCAGTGCGGCATTGCCTGTTAGCATGCTTGTGGAGTGCGCTCGTACATTCATGCGTTTTCAGTAAAACTTCAATCCGGTCTTAATCCTGGTACCTTCTGGTGATTATATTAATGCTTGCACACTGTGCATTGCGTTTTGTTTGAGATGAATTGAGAGACCACATGTCTGTGATGGTGGTGGCATAGCACCATGGCCACTGCTTGGGGGACATATATTTTGCTTCAGAATTGTAGTGGTGTAGTCCCTATGGATACAGTTTGAGTTTTATGTAAGTGTTGCTTTGCCTCATGATTTGTGGTCCTTGCATCTAGACACATGTAACATTTCTCAGGTGGTCTGATGCATCGTGCCTGCGAATCATTTATGATGGGTTTATCTGTAAACTATGCAAGCGTCAAACCATACTTTTTTGTATGGTCTTGGAATGCACGGTATATATCATTTTTAACAGAGCTAAAGGTGTGGACATGGGTTGCAAGTTGAATCCAGATATGAATGTTGAGACTGATGCAGCCATGTTGTTGCTACAAATATGTTACTCCCTCCATCCCATAATATAAGAGCGTTTTAGACACCAGTGTAGTGTCAAAAATGCTCTTATATTATGGGACGGAGGGAGTAGGTTCTGTAAATGAAATCAAGTAAAGGCTGCAACTTCTGAGAAAGAGCATACTCTTGTTCATATGCATGGGTAAATAAAAGACACTATTTGTTTGTGACTAATTAGCAACCATTAAAACTAATGGCGAATGCACTACCTGTTGCCTACTTCTCTTCTGTAAGAAAGGCAGGTGTTTGGCACAACTCATTGTTTTTCTGGCTAACCAAATCGTATGCTAACGTGGTCATAAATTTCAGAATTGTAGATCTACCATTTTTCATGGATCCTGTAAGCATGTCCTTGTGATGGGTATAATCTGCAGGATATTTGCACGAACTTGTTCATGCACTTTGGCCTACAAATCTCTCTAAGTAATGTAGCACTGCGGTATTTTTAGATTGAAAGTTCTTTTGATTCTTTCAGGTACTAGCTGGGAAAGTACGCAGAAGAAAACTACTATCACCAAAAGATAGGAATGTCCGTCCAATGATGGAAGTTGTCCGAGGAGCAGCCTTTGACATTATACAAGTACTACTTAGCTTAATTTGATTATGTCAGTTGTATAAGTTTCATCTTCTGGATGTACTAATAGATCTTTGTTGGTTGTTGGCTATGATCTGCAGTCAGCTGGTGGTTCTCCTGCTTCACTCAAACCTGGTCTGTGGTTAGACTTGTACAGTGGTACTGGATCTGTAGGAATTGAAGCTATGAGCCGAGGCTGTTCACAGGTTTCCCCGGATCTTAGTCGAAACATCAATATAGAACAACCAAATATTCAAATGCATTTTCCTAGATCAAGTTGTAGTGTATTGGTTTTTAATTGCTAAGTAATACGGAGTATCTTCCACAGAGTAGTGAGCCCTTGAGCATCCATTTATGTGCTATGTGGTCTAATTATGTGTAGAGTAATTAGAGTACATAGGTATATCTGCAGTCAACTCATATTCAATTTTGTATGCGCTCTTATTTATTAGTCGCGAATGCTAGAAATCAACATGGTCCCGGCTATGAAGAGAATGAATCATTCTTGTCATCCCATTTGTATCTCAATTCAGATGGGAAAATGTTATGATGCTGAATCTAGCTTTGCAAGTTATTAATTTAATTTGAAATGATTCAAGTAAAGTACACAGAAATTCTTGTGTATGACTATTTGTACTGAATGCATGCCTATCATTCACTAATTATGCAGGAGAGCACAAACCTATTCTGAATTAATCTAGTCATACAGTTATGAGTTAGCTTTCTAATTCTGTCAGATACAACTGTGTAAACCTCTTTTGAGGTTAGAGACAAAAGTAGTAAATTCTGACTTGTTAGATGATACAAATGATACAATGTGATTCATCCGTTCATCGTTTTGTTTTTTTTCCTCTAGGCACATTTTGTTGAGTTGGACCCTTGGGTTATTTCTGAGGTTCTTAGACCTAATCTGGACTGTACTGGATTTCTTGATACTTCACACATACATATGCTCCGTGTCGAGAACTTCTTGGACAATGCTGAAAAATCTAAAGGTATGCTTTTGTGTTTTTGGAAGCACAACATCACTAGCTTAAGTTAAGGAGGTGAACAATAAGACAATTGCAAGTAAACAAAGGAGGAAAAGATATTCTATGAAGGCATGCGTGCAATACAAAACCTAGCAGATTGACACGTTGACATCCTTGTTATGATGCAGTTCATGTGTTAATGAAAATATCAACCAGATCTATAGCGTACAAGTAGTATTTGAAACAATGATGTGATGACCGTAGTTATGATAGACAGTTCATGTACGTGTTGTTACGCAATAAAAGCAGTAATATATGCCAGAAGTGCAGCTGTGCAGAAAACATCAGAGCTTGTAGACTTGTGATACATTTTCTGCAAGATAGAACTGTATCTCCTATACTTTAGGCAGCATAGTGTTGAAATGGTCAGATTTTGTGTGAGGTAAATCGCTGAAATAAGATTTGGCTTATTTGAACGGCAATTATTTTTCTGTTATCTGACTACAACTTTCTGACCTTCCCTCCCCCAGGTAGATATCCTTCTTTTGATTATATTAGTGTAACACCACCATATGTTGAGGTCAACTACAGTACACTACTCGATCAGCTTGCAAGGTCCCCGTTGGTTGGAGAAGATTGCTTCATTGTGAGCTCTGCGTTCTTTGTAAATAGTTCTCCCTCTGTAAACTACTATAGTGATCAAAATGATCTTATATTAGTTTACAGAGGGAGTGATCGTAACTGTTTGGTTCTTTATGCATATTTCTGACCGTGGTATATTTCTCGGTAGCTAGTTGAGTACCCACTCAAAACAGATATGCCTGAATCCTGCGGAAAGCTAATAAAGGTACATGTTTCTTACACTTTACTCCACTCAAGTCCTGACGTAAGGCTTTCTGGATTGCAGTTGCTCACTTTTATATTCTCAAAAAATATCGCAGATAGCTGACAGGAAGTTTGGGCGGACAAACCTGCTGATTTATGGGCCGACCTGGTCAGAGAAAAAGAAAGGAAGGATCCTGAGATAATTTGTGCAACACTGACGCATGTTTTGCACACAAGGTGATCTTGTTTTATTTCCAAGTCCAATTCCTCACCAGCAGTAGTATACTAACATACATGCTCTTCAGTGCCCATTTTGCAGACCAGTACTCTCTCGGAAGACCGTATATTATGAACAACACCAAGCAAAGTTGGCGCTTCGGTGCTACTGAGATCATCAGTGCGCACGGCGATTTCTCCTGTGAATTTCCTACCGGCGCTAACCCACCCAGCGGGCCAACACGAAGATGTCATCTCACCTAGGGGAGTAAAATCCTCCCATTCTGGTTGGCATATCCAAATCACGTAAGAAAGAAGGCCCTCTCCTTTCCAAGGCATCAGGCCATTACGATGTCGCGTTTCATCAGCACCGTCCGGTAGGGGCACACCCCCCTGTACCTTGATGTACACCCCCTGTACCTTGATGTGCGCAATGGCTCGCAGCTCGACTCCATATATGGTTCAGCCTACCCACCTCATGCTTCAGGGGAGTTTATTTCCACCGTGCGGAGATGCATTCGGCAGGCTGACTCTTATCTGTACCGTTTAGGCTCAGACGTGGTCTGTATCTCTCCGTAGAATGATCATGGTGCCTGGCCAATGAAGGAAAATGAGTTGGCCTTTTGTATTTCGCCACATGCTTGCCGCCTGTGCGCTATGCTCTTTTTGGAACTGACGTGATAATGACTGGCAAACGTGTGCCAGTGCGACCGTCCGAAGCAATCGACTTACCCTATTCCTTGCGTCGCACGCGGAAGAGTCTGGATTGTGCGTGCATGATCTGCGCTGGAGTTGCATGATCACCTACCGTTAAAAGGGAGTTGGTAGGGTCGCCTCTACTTTGATAATTTCAACAGATGCCGCATAAATAAAAATCAATGTAAATAGAGTAACTTGAAACAGTAATAATAATAATAATAATAATAATAATTGGTATCTCCCAAAACCATGTCTTGCGTTAACTCAATCAAATCAAACAAAATCAATTTATTATCAAAATCTTAACTCAATCAAAACTTTATTTGTCTTCCCCTACTCATGTGAAAATTAAATCAAATCTTACCAAAACCTTGACTAAATAAAAACTTTCTTTGTCTTTCCCTAGATGTTCCCAAATCAAATTAAGTCTTACCAAAATTTAGAAGACGGTGAGTACGGTATATGTCGGACATGATTGACATTGAATATGTATCTCCCGGTCAGACATGATTGATATTGAATATATATGCCCCGGTTGCAGCGCGCGATTCAACTAACTAATCATACTAGAAGGGATGACTCTGGAACCCTCAAGAACGCTTCACTAACTCAAATTCCGCCTCTATTTAGTTTAGCTCATTTTTACCTTTTTGTTTGTAGTTTAGTAAAGCCCACCTAGACACGACGATACACATGGAAACGGCGGTGGCTACGCGGGCTCCATGGAGTGAACTCGTTGCTCTCCCAGGTGTGCTCTATTTGGATGGCCATGGGGGCTGCTCACCTTGGCGGCTGTGGAGGAGGAAGAGGAAACCCCGGGGATGTGCATGGCCGTCGGGAGGGTTTTAAAGGGGTCCAGGGACGACGTGGAGTTCCCCGGTCCAACCACTCCTGTTCACCCCTCGGTTTTAACCGAGGTTGAAGGCAATGTACCGAAGCAATAAGTTTGGTAGGTGGGCCATGCGGCTAAGTGTGGCTTCCAAGTGGGGTCGCAAGTTAAAACTTAATGGGTCAGTCTGGGCGCACGGTGGGGTAGCTGTCTCTCTCTCTCCTTTACCTTTTTTCCGTTTCTTTCTTTCTGTAACGGAAAATAGAAAAGGATCTAGGGAGGGGTAGGATGGTCAATTTATCAATAGCCAAATTTTTTTGGACTCCAAGATTTATACTTGGTCTAGGAAAATTGATTCCACAATTCTTGAATAGTTTGAATTCATATGTATTTGAAATAAATTCAAATTTGCTTGAACTAGAGGTAGTTGATAAACATGTCCAAAAAAATTAAGAATTTTGGTGGGGCTTGGAAATGTGATGAAATAATTAAGGGCAAAATTTGGAAGCTTAGCTTCGTGTTGAAGCTGAAAAGGATTTTTGGAAAATTTTGAAATGAATTTGAAAGAGCAATTAAATAACATATAGAAAACTCAAATTGGAAAGCTTAAAATAGTCATATTAACAATTGGGTGAAATATTTTATCATATGATACCAAGAAAATGCAAAAAATAATTATCACAATATTATTATGCAAAATATATGGTTTAAACTCCGGCTTGTTACGACACCCGATGCTCCATGCTCCATGTTATATAGGAGTGTGGCAACATTGACCATGCCTCCATGGAGCCGTTTTCACGGTGCATCTCCGGGCCAGTCAATAGGTTCGCCTGCCTCAGCGAGAAGATGGGAGCAACACACATATCGAGGCGATGACAGTGGAATATGTCATATTAAGCATCTTTTTAATTTATACAAAACATTTATAATTTTTTAATTTAATCATACTATAATATTAATGAATACATTTTCTTATTATAAAGATATCATAGTTAAACACCGAAGTGTTACTAAATATCAATTATAATATTCTTTGATATACATATGTAATGTATGTAAGGGAAAAATGTAATTATAGTTGCACTATGTTAAATTTACACTATATTTTTCTAATAAATACATGCCACTTTCTCCTCCTCCGAGACATTGACTATTTAATATTATATTGAAAGCAAGCACCCCAAATTCAAAAAAATAAAGAATAAAAATGACAAAATCGACCAGACCCTTGAATTAATTATTTACTATAGCGTGAGTTGCATAGTTTACATGTGTATCTTTGTGTGTGTATGGATGTTTCTGTTGGTAGAGATCACTCTAAATAGTATTGGTGTAACAAACATCTTATCGTAGCCATAAGCCAAATTATAGTAACTTCTAGAAATAAATTGAATATAAGTTGTAATAGTAGTTAGATATTCCCATGGTCAAATATGAATTACATGTTATAGTGGGTTCAGTTAACACTATGTGCATGCTCAGTACTTGGTAATGAAATATCGTAGCTATCACTCGCTAACAAAATATGTCATGGATTTTATTACTTTTTGCATTCATAAGATTATATTAGTCCATATGCCACACACGTGTCTCATATCATCTAGTACTACCAGTGTTGATCATTGGAGCAAAAATATTTATATTCAATAAAGTAGTAGTTTATATTTTTTGTCTAAATTATACTTGATTTATATTAAATCAATAGAACACTATATACATTTAAGTATAGGGTAAACTGAACCCACAAACACAAAAATGACCCTAAACAAAGCGGAGACAACGACTACGACTATATGCCTTCAAATTCTTCACAAATTTGCAATTGTCGATGTGGCACCATCGTAGCTCACGCCAATAATGTGCAATATCAAGAAATTCAACCATTGAAGTAACTGCACCACCGTATCTCACGCCAATAATGGATAATATTGAGAAACTAAACAATTTTAGTAATTTTTTAGAACAAATTTTGTTGAATTGTGGCAATAGTAGACATGATGAGAACAAATTTTTGAAGGAAATATGCCCTAGAGGCAATAATAAAGTTGTTATTTATATTTCCTTATATCATGATAAATGTTTATTATTCATGCTAGAATTGTATTAACGGGAAACTTAGTACATGTGTGAATACATAGACAAAACAGAGTGTCTCTAGTATGCCTCTACTTGACTAGCTCGTTAATCAAAGATGGTTAAGTTTCTTGACCATGGACATGTGTTGTCATTTGATGAACGGGATCACATCATTAGAGAATGATATGATGGATAAGACCCATCCGTTAGCTTAGCATATTGATTGTTTAGTTTTATTGCTATTGCTTTCTTCATGACTTATACATATTCCTCTGACTATGTGATTATGCAACTCCCGAATACCGGAGGAACACCTTGTGTGCTATCAAACGTCACAACGTAACTAGGTGATTATAAATATGCTCTACAGGTGTCTCCGAAGGTGTTTGTTGGGTTGGCATAGATCAAGATTAGGATTTGTCACTCCGTTTAGCGGAGAGGTATCTCTGGGCCCTCTCGGTAATGCACATCACTATAAGCCTTGCAAGCAATGTGACTAATGAGTTAGTTGCGGGATGATGCATTACGGAAAGAGTAAAGAGACTTGCCGGTAACGAGATTGAACTAGGTATGATGATACCGACGATCAAATCTCGGGCAAGTAACATACCGATGACAAAAGGAATGATGTATGTTGTTATGCGGTTTGACCGATAAAGATCTTCAAAGAATATGTAGGAACCAATATGAGCATCCAGGTTCCGCTATTAGTTATTGACCGAAGATGTGTCTCGGTCATGTCTACATAGTTCTCGAACCCGTAGCGTCCGCACGCTTAACATTCAATGACGATTTATATTATGAGTTATGTGTTTTGGTGACCAAAGTTTGTTTGGAGTCCCGGATGAGATCACGGACATGAAGAGGAGTCTCGAAATGGTCGAGAGGTAAAGATTGATATATTAGAAGGTTATATACGGACACCGGAATGGTTCCAAAGAGGTTCGG